TCAGTGGTCTCCTGCTCTACATGAAACCGATGGAACATCGGTCAAAGACCAAAGTAGAATCCCTTCACCATCGTGTCATATATTAATGATCGTTTTGTTTATTCCCTATTATAGGGATCCAGTCGTACCGAACCTCAGGTTCGGTACGACTGGACCCTTCGAAACCTACGTAGCAGTGTCGAACACATCACCGTACCGGAGGTTCGGTACGACTGGATCCCTAGAGATTGAATTGGCTTTCATGCAATGGTACCAATTGACCTGTGAGATGACCACCTTCCACTCGACCTCGCATGACCTCGCGTCGTCTCCACCAGCTCTCAGGTGGCTTCGAGACTGGAGACGGCCCTGGCACACTTCGAGGCGGGGCGGTGTGGCGTCCGAGGTCGAGAGATCGATCGACTTGTTGGAGGTGTCAGGCGCATGGTTTAGCTGTCATCACCTAAGGATCCAGAAATGCTCCTCCTCCTGTTCGGTGGGACTGGGGTGGGTGGGTGGCTGCCATGTTCGGGTCCAGGAGACACCGAACTTGAGGAGGTACGACTGGATCCCTAGGGATCCATATAGATCCTCTTGCATGGATAGACCTCGGTGGTATTTGTTTGGGGGGGGGGGGAGGAGGGGAAAGACCTCGTTCCCTGTGGGGGGGATCCCCTTTCACTCCGTGGTGCGATGAAAGAAGATTCGATGTTCACGAGTCAGCTATGCCCCCACCCCGGCTAGCTGGAGTTGCTCTTGCGAAGCCCTCCGTTTTTCGTTTGCTTTCTCTAACACCACCCCTGGCCAAAACAGTTTTAACATGTTTTAACCTCAATCCCCCTCTCAACCATCCATCCGAAGCCGGTTTATTGCTCCCTCCATCACCTCCGTCCACACGGTCGCCCGGGGGGGGAGCGGACGCACGGCCGAAGGCCAAGCTGGAGAACCGCTTGGCGCGAGCTGAGGGCCGAACTGAGGAGACGCTGAACCGACACCAGACGGAGGCAAGGAAGTAGACGAGGAGAGCAGCGAGAGGTGAGGAGACGGGAAAATGCAATCCGCACATCCGCACCCCCTAAGATGTCTATGTTCTGTAGGGGGTCCATATTATTCACCACAATCACTTGGGGTAACTTGTGACATCTACCTTGAAACCACTAGATAATGTTGTTTGTTGTAGCTTTCGAGTTCCAAATGGTGAGAATGGTCATGGTCGGTGTTGATTTGAAGAACGTCTGGAACTCCTTGGAGGACCAGAGTCCCCATCTGAGATAGTGATGAACCAATGGACAGAGAGTAGCAAGCGGCCAACTGGAAGATACTTCACAAACATGATCAGCGGCCCTCAACTAGTATCAATGTAGTTATCAATGTGTGGAATATCTCTAACCAATAGTTGTGTCGTCTTGTTGCAGATATTTCTTGTTTTGTCCACACTCGACCTTGCCAGTCCACATGCTTCTCACAAGACAGTCCTTTGGGCTCTGAGTCGTCGATCTCGAGCCGTAGCACATCCAGCTCGACGTCCAGCTGGCCGGAGCCGTAGCGTCGCGGCCGCGCGGGTGGAGCTGCACGTGAAGGGGCTTACGGGCACGCCAGTGCACGGAGGTGCAGGGCAGGGCTTCAGCGCGCGCTGGTGCTCTGGCGATGAGCCGCATCATTTGGGTTCGAAGCGAAGTCTTTGATCATGGTGTCTTCAACACCTCCATCCGTTGGTCCTCCTCAAAGGTCCTCACCTTTATCACCACCTTGCAGAGTCATATGGCCACCACAACCTTGTCCAAGGCAGGGACGGATTTGGATGGATGTTGGTCAAGTGCGGTGCACCAAAGATGAAACACATTAAAAAGAACTAAACAGCAGGTCGACATAGAACTCCTGGTGTATTTATCTTCGATTTGGTCTTTATAAGTCTTCTTACCCGGAGGGTGGTTGGCATGGGGAAGCAACGGTATTGACATATTTTCGTTGTTGTAGGCAACATTGCATTGCATCCTGTTGGTGAAGCAGTGTTTCCAGCTGCTTTGCTTGAACAATGTTCTTGATTTCCCTGCTTGGAGCCTCTAAGTTCAAGCCCAAGTTAGACTTAGCTCACTTAGCTTGGACTTAGCTAAGTCAGACCTAAGTACTTACTTGCTCACACAAGTCAAGGCTATATCAAGGCTAAAGTCGTGTCGAAGCAAACCCTTATGTTAGCAGACTTACAACCAAGTGAACTACCCTCCAGGTATACCGTGTGTGTTTCTTCCCTTCCGCCTCCCTTTGTTTGCTAGCAGACTCACTCACGCGAGAAGCTCCGCTTGCCACAGGAAGCCTGGTTGGATTTGAGCGTGAGTAAATGCAAACCGGCTTTGAGTGAGACGGAAGCCAGCACCTACTGGAGTGTCTTCAGCGTCCTACAGCAGAGCATCTTGGGGGACCCAGGCGATGTCATGGATATCCGACTGATTGGGAACCTTGGAGTGAATCAGGGGTGAGGTGCATTTTCCATGATCTGTGTCTCGTGTCGACACGACCCCCATGTGGGACTGGCATATATTTGTGTCAACAAGGGACTGGTTGAAGGAAAGGGGCCAATTGATTGGCATATTATGGCATATTCCAGTCCCATGGAGTGTTTGGGTTCAGGGGAATACACTCCACCTCACTAACATGGAAGTGGAAAGCCCGCTGTTAGTAGAGGAAAGCACAGCTATCCACGATGGCCCCAGTTCCGACGAAGAAGCGACCGAACGATGGCCCCGGGATCCTTGGACGGGCATCGTTTGCTTGTTCATCATGTCTCTGAGGGACTGAACATGCCCTAGGGATCCTTTTTCGTACCGAACCGACCCGGTTCGGTACGACTGGACCCTTCAAACCACAGCAGTGACGAACACCATCACCGTACCTGAGGTTCGGTACGACTGGATCCCTAGGGATGAATGAATTCTCGTACTGCCATGGCTTGCTCTTCTTTGTGGCCTAAGCTGTTGATCCGAGATGACACAATGTGTCATCGGTCCCACCTTCAGTTTTGTCATGTTTTGTCCAGGTCCTTTCTACCCAAATGACAAACATTAAACATATAGCTTATTCTTTTCGAAGCAATCTCAAGAAATCATCTAACAAGTCCCATTTCTTCTCAATGCTTCAGCATGTTTTCCTGAAACCCAACGGCTCCCGGATGTTGGGGTCTTTGACCCCGTTGGAACCGTGAAAGGATCATGCTCATTTGCCAGATCTTCAGCTCGACGAGGGCCAAGGAGGCTCAGGCCAAGAGCGAAGCCTGGAACGAACGAGCACCCGGAAGCCTTTCACCTCGGAGCTCTCCACGGGGAGGAGCCAAGACGTCCAGCTCCCATGGTACTTCCGGGACTGGCAGAGGGGCAGAGTGGCTGGGAAGGGCGGAAGGAAGCGCTTTTGTTTCATGTTTTTGTTCGTTGTTTTCAAGGATATATACCAGGACCCCGACTCGTTCGGGGTGTCTATTTAGAGCCCCTTGGCCCGGAGGCTGTGGTTTGGGGTGTCCATGTCTACCACCCCTTGAAGGCCCTGGTATATATAGAGAGAGAGACTCATAGATCCACTATAGGACAGGGTTTGTCCCAGTTCCTGCAACAATTGGTGAATTATCACGATTCTTGAACAGGGCCTTTACGAACCATCATCATCCACTGTTACTGATATTAGGATATTCCGAACAAATATATACTGTACCTGGATTTCCAACAATGCCAAATATATGCTTTTTGCTTGTTCTTTATGGATGAAAGGCAGAAACCTTCTTTTCGTGCGGGAATCCTTGGGGGCCATGTTTGTATAGGTTCCCTTTGTTGTTTTGGTGCACAACGAGCAAATTGAAAGGTTAACCCAAGCCTTACATGGCTTTGTGAAGCAACACTTGGGCGCTTGGTTGCAGATCGTGAGCCTCTCTTTGCAGACCGATCCTTCTGTGATCACCTCAGAAGAGTTTGATATTCTAGGGCTAGTTCTTTGTGGTGGGACGTCAAAGACTCAGCCCTTGTGGAAGTTGTCAGATGCTTTGCCAGACTTAGCCTCTAAATCCTCCATGGCCGCAGCAGACTTGCGAAAAGCTGTGGGAAAGCTGCTGTCTTGGAATGAAGACATTTACACCATCGACGTGGCAAAAGATGGATTGGAGCCACGTGCGAAGACCTTGAATCTCAGCAATGTGCTGAAAGGCATTTGGTTCCATAGGCCCGGGACAAGCACTGCACTTTTGACCAACTCCAAACGACCCGGGGTGGTGAAGTTTGAAAAAACAGCCCTAAATCCAAATAATAGTGTCCATATGTGTCCATTAGTTTCCTCTACCCAAGAAAGTCACCCAGTCTGAAGTTTTAGGACATTCCACAAGCCAGGTACCCTTTCGTCCCACTCTGTTTATAGCTTTGACTCTAGATGGAGATCATGGATGGGTTCGTTAGCAAGGTCCCCTTGCTGGACCGCCACGGCGCCACACTTGTGAGGCCACATAATGCGGAGATCGAATACCTCAATATCTCTGACTGCAAAGACAGTACGATCTATGTGACGGCGAGAATCCGCTTTTGCCTGATCACCGGATGCGAGAACACCACCATCATCCTTGGTGGAGTCTCAACCATTTGTACTACTCACAATTGTGAGAAGGTCTCTATTCATGTTGCAGCGCACTGCTACAAGATGGAGAATTGTATTGATACCTCTGCATTCCTATATTGCCATCTTCCACCCATCATTACTGGAGACACTCGAGGAATTAAGTTGGCACCTTACAATGTGCTTCATTCACACATGGCTTCCGTGCTGCATGGTTCTCAAATGACCTTGGATCGGGAGTTTGTGGATATATGGGCACATCCCATTTGCTGCACAGCCGGAATGGCGGGGGGAGACTCTGACGCGGACCACGCGCGAGGCGTTGTTCGAGGAGCAAAATACCACCTACCATTTCGTGCACCCCAGCAAGTTCTTTCCCGTGGTGGTGCCTGAAACAGGGCCTCGTGGTGTGGCGCCTCAACTGGTGCTGCCGGAGGTCTATGACAAAGCCATGAAGGAAAGACAAGAAGAGATCCGAGAATTAATGAGTCAAATGAGGAATTTGTCCAGTGAGAGCGCACAAAGGAAGGCACAGGACAGACTCCAGAGCTGCTTCAAAGATTCTTGCCCGAGCTCGGCCGGGTGTGTCAAGACTGTCAAAACTAAACACCCAAACAATGGGAGTGATGAGCTTTTTTTGTCCTTCTACTCTCTCCGTCTTTCTTTGAATCCCAGATACGCCTTGTTGTTCTTCATGTGGTTCACTGGAGGGTGCTGGGAAGAAAACATATCGAATACCCCCTGACCTTCCCGAAACTGACGCTGAGGATTGGTTGCAGTCCACTGGAAAAGTTCGACAACTGTCCGACCTCGCCAAGTTTGCCGCCCAGTTCCAGCAGAGGCTGTGACAGATGAAACATGAATCAATCAGACCAATGACCCACCATTCCCCGAAGGGAAGAACAGAAAACTCTGACCAGACGCTGTCGGAAAAGAGCAGACGGCGCCGAGCTCGTGCTGGATCGGCCCGGGCGGGTGAGGGCGGCTTTGCATGGCTTTGCTCAAGTTTACGATGTGCGATCGCTTCGGAGACACCAGGTGAAGTGTTCCAGAAATTTGGTTTCCATCATCGAAGTGAATCGCAGTGCTCCAGCTCCGGCAGGTGCAAGAAACCTTCCGCTTGGAGAGGCTGGAGAAGCAGGACCCGGGTTCAAAACGAGCCAATTTGAAAAAGCCTTTTTCGCCTGAAGAGCGGCTAGGGTTTGGACGGATGTGGACAGGATGTGGACTGGCTGACGGGGCTTGGGACTAAGAATGACTGTAAGCATCTTCTTCAGCGCTACGAACGGGGCTCCTGGCCTTGCGAACGGAGCGATCGGACGCGAACCGAACGGGGTTCCGGGCCGCACAGTCCGTGTCCGCGGCTCTACGCCGTGGAATGCAGGAGATGTGGGGTCACCTGGGCCCTCTTCTGGAAGACTCCTCGCACCAGATCACCAAACATTTGGATGAGGGTCCATGCCTCAGAACTCGAAGTGTCAGTGCCTGAGAACTGTGACTGAATCACGAAGGAACACCGAAGACACATGAATCTGAGATGATCTATCATACGTATTAGCTGCTTATTAGCTTTAAAGAATAAGATGCAATAATGAGTTGCCTTCTGACCTTTAAAAAGGTGCAGATAGTCATTCATGTGATCGAGGACTGGATGAAGTAAGATACTCTCCGAAGAGCCGCACCCCGATGTTCCTAGCTGTCATGGCACCCGGAGCCCATTTCATCGTGGTAGGTTGACCATGTCTATATAGTAGTCCATGCATGTCTATTCTGTTCAGGTGGTCAAGCTCAGTAGTCTATTCTATTCTGT